AAAGGTCATTAACCCTTCGAGCCTGCGCAGTGGATTTTTTAGGTGAGACACAGCGTGCGCTGAACTGAGCCCACCCTTTAATCCCGAGGTTCAACTGCCGGGGCCGAGTGAAGCTCGGACAGTAGCAGCGAGGTCCTTGGGACGTAGGTTTTGTTTAGAGTGACCTTCTCTTAGATGGATGGCCTTACAGGGCTGACGAGCTCCATCTGCCCGGAGCACTTCCCTGACCGGGAATCGAACCCGGGCCGCGGCGGTGAGAGCGCCGCATCCTAACCACTAGACTATTCCACTCAAAAATATAAGGTATGCACAGATTTGTTTGTTTGCTTCATGAATTCATTCTTCAGTGTTCCCAGCACTCTTAGTAACGATAACCCACAAACTCACTTCTGCTAAAGAGTTCAACTTCCTTCTATGACATCATTCTAATACAACCCTCAGCTTTGTAGGAACAAGTGAGAAAGGCATTTCACGGCAACACAAAGTGAAACTGTTTGCAGCTTTCAGAAATCAGCTGAAATAAATTAGAATAAGTGATCTTGAAATCAAGTATATAAGCTAAGATGGAAGATCTGACTGAGACAAGAATTCTTTCACATATCTACCTTAGTAAAAGAAGAGAAGCTGTATTTCCCACCATTTTCTTCACTGTTCACTAACTAAACTCTGGAATCCAAGCTTGTGTTTAAATTCACCATTAAAAGAAGTAGACTTGATAGCTGCTCACCTGATCGAGCAGTATTTACATAGGACATACCAATGCATAAGCAATGCCAATTAGCACTTAGTGCAGCTACAGTTACAGAGCTGTATTTCCTTACAGCATTCCAAGCCTCCTTTGTTGCTGGCAGGTAATCATATTTGCCCAGAGCTATTTCTACCGCCAACACCTCCCCTGCAACACAAATAACTGACTCAAAGCACAAAAGGAAGTTATTTTAAAAAAAAGAATGTTCCTGAAGTTTTGCTGAAAACAGGAAGCCTAGTGTCCTTTATATTTGCACACTTATCCCTTCAGCTTCTTAATCATTCCTCTGTGATTTTCCCCACCTTTCAGGTTAAAAGAAAAAAAAAATCCCCAACAAACCAAAACCACAAAATCTTAACACTTTTCTCTAGGAGTCCATGAGCCTTCTCTTAGTAGGGTTAGCAATGTCATCAACAAGAAATCTGAGAATTTAAAAATAAAACATGGGAATAACATTTAAAAATAAAACATGAGAATTTTGAAAGTTGCAAAAGAGTTGATTTTGGCTTTGTTTTGTTTGTTTTTTAAAAAGGCATTCGTGCATGATATCTCAGAAGAAAAGTTAAAAGAAATGGTTGTTAAATTGGGATGTACAAGGGGACCCCTGGTGGTCTAGTGGTTAGGATGCAGCACTCTCACTGCTGCGGCCCGGGTTCGATTCCCGGTCAGGGAAAAAGTCCCCCCGGGCAGATGGAGCTCGTCAGCCTTGTAAGGCAATCCATCTAAGAGAAGGTCACTCTAAACAAACCTGCGTTCTGAGGCCCTCACTGCCACTGTCCAAGCTTGCTCGGCCCCGGCAGATGAACCTCAGGATTAAAGGGTGGGCTCAGTTCAGCGCACGCTGGGTCTCACCTAAAAAATCCACTGCGCAGGCTCGAAGGGTTAATGACCTTTCCCAAATCTTCGCTCGCGAAGACTGGCCATACATACTGGGGGGGGAGGAGATTAAAAAAAACAAGGCATACTAAAATCAAGAAACAGAAGAAGGATGTGCTTGACAAATTGGTCTGAGAATAGGAATTGGTAGTAAGATAGTGTAATGGCAATTTTCTTCATTCTTTAAGCCTAGCAACAATGCAGGATTTTTTTGAAATCACTTTGGTTATACATCCACGGAACACCCCAAATCCAGTTTTCTTTTTACCAATTTTAATACCACTAATCACCAGCAGTTTAAATGCTTCTATTAACTTGTTAACTTGGAAAAGGACTGACATAATTATTACTGTTCATCTAATCTAAACGTATCTAGGGAAAAGATGAATACATTCAACATTGTTATGTGAATACTGTAGAAGTAGTATTTCAGTGGAAGTGATGCCAGAACTATGATATAATGCTTTACATCCTGTTCTCCTACTGTTTGCCTGAGACCAGGTCTCAATACTGAGTTCAACATAGTAGGAAGCTGGTATCTGAACTAAACAACTAGACTGGAAGTTTTATTAGCAATAATCTGATCACTTATGTTTCTAAACTGTCTGTCAGAACTCCTCCTCCAGCTACTTCCAGTTTTTTTCTACCTACACATAAGTTATTGCACACATTCCTCTGAATATGGTCACAGTTTAGTTGCCTATACTTTCTGATCTTGAAGTACACACTGTACATACTGAAGTACATAGCTGTACCATCAGTCTCCAGATGTACCACAGTGCTTTCAGTATATAGATGGGCTTAGACTTCCTTGAAACCTGGATTTCCAGGGAACAACTTTTTTTCTTTATCTCCTCTCATGTTCAAATACCACAACTGATTTATGGCAGAAGGTGCAAGCTGCCAGTTCTCAGATTTACCTTGGCACGATGCTTGGATCCATCAATACATACACGTTTGATCTGACACAGTCATGACTTAACACTAGTTCTTGCTGTCATGTTTACAGATAAAGCAGTTGTGGAAACAGATTCCACATCTAGAGAGAGTAGAAGTCTTCAGTATTGCAGTTTTCTCTTTTGGAGAGCTTTATATAGTAAAGAATGTGTGTGCACTTCGGTATAAAGTGCAGAATGCTTCAAACAAACAAGACTTAGTAACAGTATTTTGCCTTGTTGTAAAATCCATCTGACTGCCTTAAAAACCTTTTATTTTTTCTGCCACAGTGACAGTACTAAACCTCTTGGGTCAGACAACTGTGACAATCAGAATCAAAAAGCCTCACCAAATTCAAACTTGCAGAAACACTACAGTACAATTCCCTGTCTTGAGACTACCTATTTGAAACCAGCATGTAATCTACAAGTGTTCAAAGTTATCACTTAAAGAGCACTTGCCAAATACTTCTGCAAAACTGTATTTACTGCTTTTAGCATAACTCCCCTCTCATCTTCAAAAGCAAGGTATTTTCTACTTAAGAGTTCTAGATATTTAAGGTGTGATAAAAAAAGCAGCACATTCCCCACATTAGTTAGAATCAGTTAGAATCAAGCCACAGCATCTAGCTCTCTGGG